CCACAATTGTGCAACCTATAATCTTCAGTTTATTGTCAGTCATACTTATTAACATGACACCTGACAGATACGAGATGTCATGAAATGTGTCTATGTCTAAATGTTGTGATACCCAGTAGGGCTGAACGATTAATCGATTTTAAATCGAAATCGCGATTTTAAATGATGCGATTATCAAATCGCAAAGCCTGCGATTTTTTTAAAAATTTTTTTATTTTTTTAACATTTTTTTATTTTTTTATTTTATTCTTGTGTGTCAGTCATCCACACCAATCAGAAGTGCTGTGCTCCACATGTACCAGCCATTGTTAATCAATCGGAAGAGAAGTGGCCCAAGTATACTAAATACTACGCTTCAAAACAAACACTTCACGTGAAACGCCCAGGTGTTGAGACGTTTTCCTAACACTCTATAAATGGCTGCAGCCGCCGCCAGAACAGAAACGTTTCGAAAAATGTATCCCGTAAAAAAGCAGCACTCAGTTGTTCTGGACATATTTCGGGTTTAGGACTCACAGATGTGGGCAACAAAAGCAGGTTTGTTGTTGCACCGACAGTCAGGGAAAAGTCGCTACTCCCGAGCAAACACAACAAACCTTTATCAGCACTTGAACAGGCACCACAGGCAGCTTATCTAATGACGAGTGCACAGCCAGAAACGCAGTGGTTTCGTCCGTAGCCCCAGTCCCTAGCGCTAAGCGAATGCTACTGTTTTCCAGAGTCATTTGCGGGCTGTTACGCCATATGAAAAAGGGCTCACGAAGGCACCGTGAGATAACTAATTCGATACGCATCTACTCGCTAAAGACATTGGTTTTCCTATTAATACTCGTTGAGAATATCGAAGGGTTTTAAAAAACTCATCCGAACGCTGGATAAAAAAATATTGCTATCCCTCCCGCACGTATTTTAGTCAAGTTGGCCATCCCCAGAAATGTACACTTCAATGTAGGAATAAAGCTGATGAAGAGCTGAAAAATGTAGAAGTAGTATGCGACAGTACAACCGGATCAGTTGGTCGAAAGCAGGAACGACCGAGCCCGCTCATCTCAGTCCTCACCGTGCCACTTCATAAAATGGCGACCTTGAGTGAAGAGTTTATTGCCTGCAAACGGTATACTTTCCTCTTGACCACGACGGGAGAGGAATTTGCACATGGACTAAGAGAGTCCTTTGTCTAACTGGGGTCTGAAGGAAGAGGATCAGACGTGCAATCACCACTGATAACGGATCCAATGTTTATTAAAGCTGTGGAGCTGAATCACTGGGACCA